CAAAGTGGAACATCCAGGAAAGAAACCATGTTTTTCTCTTTAAAGTCATGGGAAGTCCTTTGAACTGCTCAACACAATGGCAAGAAGCGTGAATCAGGCTAAACATACCTCTCCCAGGGCTGACGGTACAACAAACCACTTCAGCTTCGTTCTCATGGTTACCAGGAGCTTAGCGAAGCCTTTGATGTGTCATTAGAGCCCCTGTCGTTACCTGCGTCGTGCTGCAGGATGAGGGAGAGTCTCAGTCCAATTTCTGGGACGCAAACGTAATAATCCCTTGGTGTATGTGTGGTACAAAAACATGACAGCACCCTGCACAGCAGAATCGACTTTGTTTATGCCAGGGATATTGCTTGAGTTTTGTCCTGATTTCTCCTCTAGGAGATTCATTAATAACCACAGTCAGGCCAAATAGTGTTTACAGTTTGGGCTGTGTAAGAATCTAGGTTAGGTTTAATTGCTGGGGTTTGAGCTTGAAAGCCAAATTGCTTCTAGGATCCTTGTGCTGGATCTGAAAGCACTGAATTCACTTTGCATCCTCCCCCAACCCCTGGAGATTTCAGCCCATGATAGCAGAAATGCAGCGAGATAAGGTGGTCTCTCAAGATTTCTCCCTCCTGGGACAACTTCCTTACAAAAGTCTGCCTGCACAAAACCAAGCCTGGGAAACAGATCATTTCTGCCTTTGGATCCACCCTGGAATCTGTAAGGCAGGGAAAAGCACGCTGTGCAAATCTCACCTCATCTATTGGTCTGCTCGGGTCTGTTTATGGTGTTATCTAGGATCAGCCCCGCTGTGGGATGCAGCCAAATAGTTGCCAGTCTGTAGTACCCAGAGGAGCTGGTGCTGGGATGTCCCAGCTGCTGCTCTTGCCGAAAGGAGAATGATGGTTGCACCTCCATTGTGTGGAAGGGTTCTGCAAGATCCAGCCTTCAGCCCTCTTAAGTTGCCCAGAGGTTAAAAACCAACAGGCAGTAAAGACAACCCAAAGCCTTTGCTGGGAGAGACACTGCAAAGCTCTGTGATTTCAACAAGCAGCTTGGGAAGCTCAAACCCCTGAGCATGCCAAAGTAGGTTCAGGACTTGTTATCTGGGGTTCAACAGCCCCAGTAGGACTGCACATGTCCTGGGTGCCTTTGTACTCAGCTTTCCCTCCTGTTCTGCCTCTGCCTCACCCAGGGGTTCACTGACCCTCCTTCCCAAGTGCTTGTGCACTGCTGCTAAGGACTTCATGTTGTCTTTAGCAATAGAGGCAAAGTCTTTGGGCATGCAGCTGAATGCATCAGCCTAGCAGTTAAAGAAAACACCCTTTAAGTGCATAACTTGAGGACATGCTGTCTGGGATCCACTCTGACAATAAGCACCAAACCTTAACATACCACTCTGACAGTCCCTGTAAGGACAACTCGTCTTTAAAGCCTGGATTCACAAAGTTGAATCCCATCGGCACAGCGTTAAGTTTTCACTATTTTCATATGTTTCGAGGCCAGGAAGAACCAGAACATTATCTATGTGCCCCACACAATTTGAGCCAGAGAGTACATCCAGAGATTGATACAGCAGCTGAGTTTTTGTCTGTACCTTACGTAAATCCGTGCACAATTCCCAGTTTGTTGTACTCAGGTCTGACACTAGAGCTTTGAGGCCCTAGCTGGGCTTTTGTGAGGTACTTGGATCTTGTAGGAACTCAACAAACAAGACTGCAGAGGCAGGGCTACATAATAAAACTGTGTTCTCCATGCCCTCTAAGGCAGCCAGAATAGCAGGGAAGGGGCGAAGGGATCAGTAATCCTGTCCCTTCCTCAGCAGCCAGAAGGAGAGGAATAGTGAAATGCAAGTTTATGATGCAGTCACAAAGGAGATCTTGTCACTCAGGTGCCAAGGCCTGAGTCAGTGATCAGATGTTTGCACTGTGATGTTGCACCGATCCATGAAGAGGCTATGCTGTGACTGAAGGCAATCTCTCGATGCTCAGTTACAGCTGGTGTGCGACTCCTTGAATCTTAGGTCAGTGATAAAGAGGCTCTCTCCAGGAGCTATAAATATTGTCACACAGGTGTAATTTTGCTGGATGCATGTGTCAGAGTTGCTGTTCCACCAGAGCAACTTCATCTATAAACGTAAACCTTGACTAAGAGAAGTTGGCTTTCACAGCAGGATAAATAGCAAGAGACATGCCTCTAATTGCATATCAGCAGAACTGATCCCTCAAGGATATTGGCTGGTACAAGGTAAAGGAGTAGGATATGTCTCAGGAGTCAAACTGCACAGCAAGGTACCAGTCTAGACAGAGCCTGCCAGGGATCACCTGGGCAGTCCTGCCAGTCCAGGGGAGATCTGGTGGAGGTCCAAACTCGCTTCCTAGTCAGCAGGACAAAGTGTGCCTCTTTGGGATTTGCACTTTGCTGGATGTCAGCTATGTGGGGCTGAGACTGGCTTCACGGTCCTGCTCCTTCCTTTGAGAAGGACACATATGCATGCCCTTGGGCATGGAGAGGAACAGCGAATGTGCCACTTGGACATAAAACATAAGTCTCCTTCCAGCCCTGTCCTGGGAGGAGGTTTCGAAGCACTTACCAAGCAAGGGTGATACCATCATCATTGTTTACAGGAGAACTGAGGTGTGAGTACTTATGAGTGGCAGAGACAGGGAGGCCTGGGTCTCTGAGCCTCAGCCTGATGCACAGTCCTGGACCATGCAGCCTGTGCACCTTCCTTTCTGAGCCCCCACTCAAAAGACCCTGTGTGGCCCTGAGCAGGCACTTCCTTCAGCAGCAGGGAGAAGGGCAATCGTCAGATGCACCAGGGCAGACATTCCAACCTGGATGTGTTGAACGGCAAACCCAGAGGAGCCCTGCTTCACCCCTGGCACACTGTCCTGTGCAGTGGGTAGTGCTTTTCAGATGGCCATCTGGCCAGCTCTAACCACATCTGCAGCATCAGGCTGGTCCAATACTGCTTGGAGCCCCACCAGGATAGGTTCACACACTGCACAGCGGCAGTCTGTGCTGGGTAAGGAAAAGATCTCCATGCACTACAGCTCCTGGTACTGTGCAATACAATATGTGACAAAAGGCCTCATATCCAACCCTCAGTCTTCGGGTATCTCTGAGTGGGGTCTTCACTTTTTACAAAACCTTACAGGTAAATTTAAGGGGGGCAGAAGTACATGCAAAGGGAGGTCCAGATTCTCCTTCATCTCCCCCTCTTCTTTGGGAGACAGCTAAACTGAAGGATGTCTTGAATTTATTTTAAAAATCCTGTTAATTCATTTTCTTCAAGAAGTTCATTCCCAAGAGCCTTGTGATTCTGCCATCCTGACACCTGCCCAGCCCTAAATGGAAAAGTAAATCCAATACTTTCTCAGTCACACAAAACTTGCTGAAGCTAATGGCTGTTTGCTGAATAAAGAAGAAGTGAAATGATAGAAAAGCCCTGAAATTGAGTCCTTTTTTTTTTTTTGCTGTCTTATGCCAGTAGCTCCTGTAATACTTTACAGTCAGGACAATGATACAAACAGGGGGAGTGTTAGTCATCCACATGTAGGTCAAAGAGCCGGGAGCAGAACCGAGCCCTTAAGTCAAGTTGGGCTTCTCCCTTCATTTACCCCATCTGCCTCAGTAATGTGAGATCACTGATGTGTGGAGACCTAAACCCCCAGGGCACAGGGAGTATTAGCTCATATTTGAGAACTCAAAAGCAGAGTATTGTTTATCAATGAAGGTTGTAAAACTTGCTGACACTATGTAGATTCACAGCCACTTAACTATGAAGAGATGAAATTCTGTCTGGTCCTCAAAAGACAGAGGTGAAAGTGCAGCACCTCAGCACACAGAATCGACAATGAAGCCTGTTATTAGTTAGAATCAGCTTGAAGATGGAGGCAGAGAAAATAATTTTTGAAAATAAAATTTACACCTTTCCAAAACTAACTCAATACGTTTCTTGTGCATCTATGGGCAGCTTGTTGTTTCATTTATAAGGCCATTTACCTCGGAAGGTAAATTTGTACATCAACCCCAGGTGGCAAACGTTATTTACGTGGGTGAATAGCTTACAAGCATACAGGAATATCTGAATAGTTCCGGAATGAACGTACAGTTAACCCAAAGGCATTCCTCTTCATGCTCTCCACCTGTTGCACCTTAGTGATAAATGAATATACCAGGGCTGTTCTTGAGAAATCCAGAGAAGACGACTGCCCAAGCATGGTTCCCCAACAGCGACTCATGTTTCAGAGGGCCCCAGTTGCTGCAGCTCACGGTGAGGTTGCACAGGATGTATCACTGCCTGGGGTCTCATGCTGCAGGGCTACCTCATGTTCAGAGCTCCCACTGAGAGCTCAGCAGGGCACAACATGGGCTGGGTTAAACTGAGAACTTCCAATGGCCTCTCCAAACCTGGCACAGTCTCCTCCAAAGCACAGATTTTAATAAGCTGGTGGTTTTTTTTCCTAATGGTGTGCATTGATTAAACAGATTTGGATTTTTGATTCCATGATGCAGGGAAAAAGCCCCCATTGTTCTCACAAGCAAGCTTGGGCTCATTAGATGTTTCAAATGACTCCAGTGTAACATGCTGAACAAGTTCAGATCTGTTCTCAAACTGCTGGAGAATAACAAATTCTCCCATCCTAACGTTCCCCTACCAACACTGGAAACCTGACTTCATATTCCATCAGAGGTCAGGAACAAAAACAAGTCTGGTGGCGCCCCAACTCCATAGATCCCAACGCTTCTGCCTCATCACATAAAAGAAAAACATCAACATGAATGATGAGAAGAAAGCTACCTGTAAAAATGTGCTTAAGTTGAGGATCAGTGATGCTACATAGGTAGGAAACAAGGACAGCGGGGAAAGTGGCAGGGTAAGACTCGAGTGTGCTAACAAAGTCACTGGAAGTCCACATAAACCCTGCTGTAATGTATCCTGAGGTCCCATCCTTGCCTGCACGTGTATAGGGACCTGGATGACCCCGGTCCAGGAGACACAAACATACCTCATGGTGTACAGGAGGGTGCCATTGTCCACCAGGCGTAGCAGCTTGTTGGGTGTTGTCATGTTATGGGCAACAGATTTCTTCCCATTGTGGAAGAAGGTATCAGGAGTCCAGATCTTACTGGCCAGCAGGTTGTTCAGGGGAAGTATTTTCATGGGACCATCAAACTTCAGCCTCTCATCTCTCCAGGATTGCCGGAAAAAGACATCAATAGTGTATTCCTTTGTGGAGAAAGGAGATAAAAATAAGTCTTGTTTTACTCAGCTCTTCATTACAAGCAAGCTGCTTCAAGAAATCATTAATATCTTGAGTCATTGAGCATACTGCGGTTTTGCACATCTTGGCTGACATGAAGGGTGATGCAACAAGAAGCAGGGATTAACAGCAGTGGAGAAATCTGTGAAAGATAGAGGGCATTTACCATACTTTGTATAATGACTTACATATGATGCCAAAATTTGAGTTTCAATGTTTCTGACCACTGCAGACAGTACAGACTACAGTGGCCAGTGGGCCAATGAAGTAGCTCTGTTGCACCACCACCAACATCCAGACGTTTCAGGGAAGGGAACCATTGTGTGCAGCTACACAGGAATTTAAAAAGGCAAAAAAAAAGTTCCTGGGTGATGGAATTTGGCGAGGATACTACTAATTATACCCCTGCTCATAAAAATAAATAAAGAAACAAAGTTTCATGACATTGTCTTAATGTTATTTTGTTCCCCAGGCCACCTCTAGAAAAGCATTGCAAGATCCTGTGACTTTCTTTTGTTTTTCTTCTTTTTCCTATTTTTCCCTTTTTTTTCTTTTTCTTTTTTTTTTTTCTTTCAGCTAGTGTAGAAACCCATTTTCTAGGACAAATTCCAGCTGGGGTAATTAGAAGCCATCTCCTTGAAACCCTGCAGCCAGGGCCAGCTCCTTGTTCTATGCATAAAGGACTGCCGTTCCTTGTGACCTGAGCCACCCTGTGTCCTCAGAGGGTCCTTGTCACTTGAGGGAAAGTCTTCAGCCTGTCAGCATGAGCTGGACCCACTGCTCACCTCTACCACACACACTTCCTCTTGCTAATGAAGGATCTCATTAGCTCACCAGGCTTTCAGAGAGTTGGGGGCTTTGGAAAATCTGCCTGTCCCAGCTTTTTTTCCCCTGCCACTGCAGACTCGTAGTCTTTATTTACAGGTTCCTAGAGGCTGCAGGATCAACTAAACTTATCATTGTGAGTGATTTCTTTCCTGCAGCTCTTCTCAGCAGCATTTAAAAGCTGCTGTGCATCAGTTTCCTACAGGTCATAGAAATTCCTACAGGTTTTGCAGCAGATGGCAGCTGAATGAAAGCATCTTGGTAAAGAAATTCATCCCTGCTCCCTGGCCACAGAGCCACTCTTGCTTAAATATGAAGTTTCTGGAGCCTGGCTGGGGTAAGGAAAGAAGAGATCCTACGTTCCCACAGGCTCTGCCCTGTACAAGATACTCTGCCCCTTGATGGATGCAATCTTCAGTTTGTGGTTTTAAGCTCAGTAAAGGGATAAAACCAAAGAAATGAGCCTGTGTGCAGTCACAGGAGGTAGGTTTGGGAAAAGTCCTTAGCAGGAGAAGAGCTATTTTATTCAGAATTCCCTATTCCTATTTAAAAAAAACAAAAAACAAAAAACAAAAAAACCAACAAAACCAAAGAAAGAAGCAAAACTTCTATAACTTCCCAGGCCCTGTTTTTCTTCTTTTATGCTAAGGAATCATTCAGAAAGAAAACAGAAATCATGTTCAGCTTCTTCCCCTCTTTTCTGTACTTCTTCCAATGACAGCATCATTCCCAAGTCACCCCTTCCAAGGAGCACACTTAGTTCTACATTATGTTCTTTATCTTGTAGAAATGACTGAAACCATCAAGCCTGAGTCTGTTTTCAGAGTCCATCCACCAAAACATAAAACTCTCTTGAACTTTTTTCTTTTTTTTCCTGGAGACTGAGGCAAAGCTGCAAGAGCTCACTACCGAAGACTCATGTGTATGTCAGCTCCTATCAGGCTCTGCTTTCCAAACCAAACTGAAAGAGAGATTAGAAGTCCCTTGGAGCATCTCAGGGAAAAGGTCTACATGTCCTCCTCCATGCTTTGTAACCAGCTACTCTCCTCCACTCCCCACAGCAGCTTTACCTGCCTCTCCTCCATCATCATAATTACAGTCTCTGTCTGCATCAAGATGCGCAGGAGTGGCTTTCCATCACAATGAGTAATGGCTGTGGAAGGGACGGGAGCAAGATCACAAGGCAGATGCGAGTGGGGAAGGAGGGACTTCCCCACTCCCGAGATGAAAGGAACCACCACAGAAGAGCAGGCTCTTCCTACACTTCCCGAGGAGATGGGGTTTCTCTCCCTCACGTTTCTGAGTGCATTTAGCACCAGAAGGGCATGCTAAACCACATTCGCTATGCATTTGTAAAATGCATGCAAAGGGGAAATAATTTATTATTCTTTAACTGCCTTCCTAATTTTAAATTCATTTTGTCAAATCACATTGAGAAAATACCTTCCTCTTTTCAATAACTCGTATTTCTTCTTCACAGTTCATTATACACACTCCCTTAATCAAATATGCTCCACCTTGGAAGTAATTATCAGATACTCCCCAAGGGCTAAGATTGTTGAATATACTATGGGTCTCCGCTGCAGTAGGAAAGCAAGCGAGATAGAGAGAGAGCTTATAGATGAGATTAATACCCTCAGCTACACTGACATCAAGTTAACTTCTAACCCAGGAGGCAGTGGTCTTTCCAAAGCCACATGGGGTTGCGAGATGGGGCTAGCACCTCAATGAAACATGGAGTTTTTATTCTCCCCTAACTCCTCCGCTTACTAGCACAGGACTGTCAGTGGGGCAGCTGATGAGATGTTCATGGTCATGTCAGCCCAGAAAATGAAACCTTCTCAGATCCGGAGGGGCTGCAAGAGCTGCAGGACATTGCTCCTGCCTGACCCAGTTGGTGAGAATAATGCCTGCTCCCTCTCCCAAACTGGGCACCCTCCAAGGCCAGGATGCCACTGCTGGCCTGGGCTGTGCCAGCACCAGGTCACCTCTGGGCCTAGACGTGCAGGAGGGTCTCAGTGCTGAATGCATGACTGTCCTCATGTGGCGCCCTTGAACTGCTGAGCAACCATCAATAGCCAACTCTTCTCTGTGCGCCTGGGAGCGTGCGGAATACAAGCTGCAAGAAACACTGTTGAGAAAGCTCACTATTAATTATGCTCCACAGTCCTGTTTTAATTAGAAGACAAACTGTTGTGGGAATACAAGCCTAAATTCAGACCTCAGGCCTTTTCACTAATAATTTTCCCCGAACATGTCAAAATATTGCAATCAGTTCACTCCTTTTTTTTCTCTTTTGCATCCATTCTGGTTCAAGCACTAAGGACAGTTTAATAGTGAACTGTTCTCTTCTGGCACTGCCACCAAAATGGGCCAGATTCTGGCATCCTCCCCTCTTCCCAGTGGGCACATACAGTCAAGTCAAGGAAAGCTGGCTACAGTGAAGGTGTTTGTCAAGGCATATAATGGGTGTAGCATCCTAAGCACAGGTCTTGGTCCTGTGGGCAGACCTCCCCATTTCATTAGGGTGCACTTGCAGGGAAGAAAAAGCCCCTAAAGCCTGCAGCGTGCTTGAGTGGTGCAAAGTCTTTGACCCTCCAAGGCTGCATTATCAATTGGTTTCTAAAAGCCCAAACATATGTGAGAAACAATCCCTGTCTACCACCTGCACTGGCTCCCTCTGGACTGTGAGAAGATGATGAGGCACACTTGTGACCAGGCAGGCAGCTGGGATGCTTGCTCATATTCTTGCCATTTAGGAAAATCCCACTTTTGCCCAGATTGTGAGGGTATGAGTGTGGGACACATACGCTGAGGCTGCAGGAGAAGCCATCCCTCCTCGTGAGGCGACCAGCCAGTGGCACCTACCATATCTGTGTCCGAGACAGGGCCGAAACTCGTCACGTAAATGTCTGTCTTGACTTCAGTTACGCTGTCTGGGACAAAAAAAAGGGGAAAAAAACAATTAGAGAACTGAATTTTCTTGTACAGGGAAGGGTTTGGGTTTTGTTACATAGTGGATTTTCCTGCTAGGTGCCTCCCTGGTGAGCCCTCAGCAAGGCGGCATCGTGTTCTTTGCTGTGCCCTGAACACTGGCCAATTTTATCACTCGTAATTGGGCAGATTCATCTCTGATGTAGCTCTGCTGCTTTCCACGCTTAAACCGAGGATGAGTATGTCCCGCACAGCCAGACAATGCGTATTTACAAAATGCATGCGGCTATACAGTACATAATGCGGTACAGATCCACACGTTTTCAATACAGAGGTAAGCCCTGATGCTTTGAAACTCCTTTTAATCTGAAATCCCTTTGTGTCTCCCAGCCTGATAAACAGCCTAGCAATGTTCCACCAGTTTTAGGAAACCCTGGGTTTGTTACAGCTTCAGGCTTATCTGTATGTAAAAAGAATCAATATTCTGATTGCCTTTTACTGCCATCGTGTTTGCTGTTCTCCTAAGTGCCTCGCTCCTGGCGAGCAGCTGCTCTTGCAGAGCTGCTGCTTGCCTGCATCACACGCTCCCCTGCATCCCAGGCTGTGCAGCCCTCATGGATGCTGAACAGTAGCCTCGTCGCCCCAGCAAAACCACAGAGCCCCAGTTCCTGCCCCCAGCACTAAAACCTAGGGACAATCTTAATCACACGCCTTCAGGTAAAGATAAACTGAAGTGCTTTGCAGAACACAGCCACCAGCACATACGCTGAACAGCATATACAGCTCTCATTCTTGACTTCATTAAGATTTCAGCATGTTTCCTAATTGAAATCTCTGCTGCTGTCCCATTTTGCAGGGAAATCAAGGCAGAATCATGGTCCTACGCTCTGCCCACTGGATTGTACTGAAAAAATGATGGATGAGGTGCCTGGAGTTTAGCACTATGTTACCATAAATCCTCACCACTTTAGGGACAGATCATGCCATTGTGCTCCTTTTTTATGGCATTAGCTGGCTCAGAGCTGCTTTCCCAATGAAAGAACTAATTTAGAGCCCCAAAGAAGAGTTCATGTTTTATGCTTAGTACCCTATTTTGGCCACTGCAGCAGCTTTGCAAGTAGCCTGGATAGCCCATTGCTCAGTTCAGTTATGGAAATCCTTCTGTCCCCTGACAGTTATTTTGCAGTGCTATGAAGCTTAGTTTTGTGCTTCAAAGTTTTGTATCCAAAAATAAGATAATGCATTCTGGCAGGGTTTTCTCCTTAATGGCTAAAATATACGTATACATGTCTTTAGTTATTACAGCTGGAAAGCTTCTGATGCAGCCCGTGGCTGATATTATTGTGCTATATAAGTAACCCTTGATCTTGTCTTGATGCGATAAAAAGAAGGTTAAAGAGAAATATGTATGCGGTACACTTTCTGAAACACCCAGAAGCCAACAAGACATCATCTGAACGAAATGAGTTACTTCTGTAAGACTTAAACACTCGGCATATTCTGTCTCCCTCCAAACAAGTCCCCAAATGAGATACACAGCAGAGAAGAACATTTAGTGAAGCGAGACTCTTTCCGCTAACACATGCAGCGAGAGAAATCTAATTATGTTTTAGAGAAAACACAAACTCCCTCTCCCCTCCCCTCCTCCCTTCTTGGCATTCAGTTTGCCCAAGATAATAATTTACAGCCATGGTTATCAGATCAGGATCCATGGCCGCCCATGGCCAGTGAAGCCAATCCTCATGAGCTGCAGAAAGAATTGTCCCCTGCACCTGGGGGTCCATGAAAGGACCCATGCTTTACAATGTGATCCTTGGTTCCAAGCACAAGGAAGGGATTCAGGAAGTGATGAGGAGGTAAAAAGGCAGAACTAGTTTTGGACACCTTTTGATATGGTCCTGCTATCTTTACATGAGCTTTTATGTCCTTATCATGCCATAACCTGGCTGTCACAGAGTTCCAGAGACCCCTTCCCACCCCTTCAATCTACTGGCAAATTCAAGCAAAGATAATGGAATTAATAAATAACACTAATTTATTAAGATTAATAATTGATTACAGCCCAGGTCTGAAGAGGATCTCCCATTTCCAGACCGCAGATGCACCCCCCGGGCCAGGCCATGCAAACCCACCAAACTCAGTGGGATCCCTTTGTGCCTGCAAGGCAGCACCTGGTGCAGGGCGAGCTATGGGGGCTGGCTCAGTCACTAGCTTATTGATGTCCCCCAGCACTTAGAAAAATTGGCTCCCTGCACCTTTCATGGCAAAAGCCAGACTGAACTTTCCCTCTTAATATGTGCTCCTAAGGGCAGGATTTGGCTGGGATCCGTAGGGATTTCTGAAATTAAATCATTGCTACACAAGCAGGGATTTCAGCAGAGCTGGGAAATCCAGAGATAAGTAAAACACCAGCAGAACAGAGTAAGCTCCAGCCTCAGAGATTCACTTCCTTCATGATTCTACAGCCCAAGAGTATCCACACTGCTTGCAGCTCTGCCCGAGCTCATCGGCTCTGTGGTAGTGGTGAGACCTTCTCCTCCAGAGAAATCAGGAGCTACTCAGCCAGCCTCCCCCCTTCTTACCCTCACACCTACCCACTCTCAGCCTGCACAAGAAGAAATTGCATCTGTTTTTGCAGCAAGAGGAAGCTGAGAGAGGAGCATCTCCTGCCTCTGCTCAGAGAGATGTCAGGGAAATCCTTATGTCCTTCTCAATCCAGAGGCACAGTCACACTGCAGCTTGGCTGTGTTGCCCAGTTCTCACCAAAGATTTAATAATTAAAGACTATACTGTAGATAATTAGGCACTTTCCCTAGACCTTGCAGAACATTAAATGGCATTTTTCCTTTTCTAGCATCATCCTTCCCTGTGAGTCAAATTTTTTTTACATGCCCAAGAGTTGAGCCATCAAGCCTGCTGGGGTGGCAGGCGGATGCTGCCAGTCCTGGTTTATAGTTAGGGAAACAAAAAAGCAGAAACTTGGTTCAGGTAGGAAGCTGGAGCAGAGCAAGGATCAGAGGTCAGCTCCAGCTGCCCTAGGGAATGGCGTGGGCTGGTACACCACTGCCCAGTGGAAGGCTTGGTATTGTTCCTGGCAGGCTGCAAAACCACCTTCTGGCCACGTTGCTGAGCCTCACCTTGCCCCAAGCTGCTGACACCTGGGGACTGGAAATGCAAAAAAAAAAAGACCCTGAACCAGTCACAAAACTAGAAGAGCAAGAGATTTTCAGGTTTGACGTTTGAGTGTGGGCAGAATTTAGAGACCCGAGTGGCAAGTCGTCTGTTTGAGGTTGATTCCCTTGTCTGGGGGCTTTTCCCATTTATAGGCTCAGCTTATTCCCCAGCTTCAGCACAATTGTGTTTCTAAAACCATCTGGAGCAAGTGTGTGAGCAGCAATAAGATGCTGCAGGTCGACCAGAGCTGCCCCTTCTCGCACACGGTACAAAGCTCCCTCCCTGCCTGCCAGGCAATGCTGCCTTGCTCCTGCCTGCAGAAATCCCCCACAGCTGGGCAGATCTGCAATGCAAATGTAAAACAAAAGCTGTAACATCCCTTCCCACAGTGTTACCATGGCACTCCCTACACCTGTCTGCTCTTTAGAAGCTACCCCTCTCCTTCTCCAAGAATTCGCTATGCCGGATCTAGCTGCTTGTGCAGGCGATAAACATCCCTCTTAGCTGTGCGTGCAGGACCGGATCCTGCCGCCCCGAGCCCCACGCCAGCAGGGTCGGTTGCTTCCCTTGTGTGCGCAGAAGGTGTAAAGCAGCAGCGGCTGCTGCTGAGGCACTTCAGGGTTTCCATTTCACCAGCCTTCCCCTGTCCCCCCCTCTGAGTCCCCATGTCCCATCTTCCCAGCTCTGGCTCAAGGCAGACATCCCCCCCCCCTTTCCGCAATCTCCCTTTTAAGTGCTCGTGAATCCCTGGGCCTGTGAGGAGATAGCTATTATTTACAAAATGATGGAGTGCTATTTTTACTTGCTTCTTGGAAGCACTAGGAGCAGTAGCAGAGCTGGAATACAAATTACACTGCCTCGCTGCCTCTCCCCTTGCTGGCTGTAGATTATAGGGCTGCCTCTACAAGTGATTATGGGAAGCAGGGGGCATGAGGGGCTGAGGAGGCTCTTATTAAACACCCCCCTGAACCCACTGAGTGCTGTTTATTTAAGAATCTCAGCCATAATATAATTGACTCGGCCAGTTGTGTTTCAGCTCTTGAGGTTTGCGGATGTGCTGAACACAGTCACGTTTCCCAGGCGGGGGTTCCCAGAGGCTATGCTGCAAGCTAGCAGCAATGTGCGCCTGCATCCACGCGCTGGAGGCTCCCAAACGATGTGCGCTATTAAAACAGGGGCAAAGCCACTGCATCTTCGTGCAGGGGATTCCTGGTTGCTGTGCTGACGTCAGGGAAGCTGCACAGCCTTATCTTGGAGATAAGCTGGATGAGCTAAGGGATGGGAACCTCCTTGAGGCTGTGCTCTGCATGGCATTGCTCCAGCTCTGCCCCAGGGCTGCGCAGGGACCTAAGGGAGCTCAGAGGTGACAAGCCTGTCTGTACTGGTGTTTCTGTGCGTGATGGCATGGCTGAGACTAGAAAGAAGGACCGTGCTGTTCAGGCTCTTCTGCACCCAGGGATACAAACCCTCGATCTGCTCCAGGCCAGCTCCTGGAGGCAGACATTTCTGCACTGGGCTCACTATGAACTACCCTGGGCTCACTGTGAACTGCCCTGGACCCCAGCCAGCCGATATCCCATCTCCAAGCGTGGCCACAACCTAAAAAGTGCAGTAACAGGCTGATGATGCCCCTTAACACCCTCCTAGACTGCCACTACATTTAGCCTCAGCTGAGGAGTTTCTCAGCTTGATGAGGTTCTTTTATTCAGTAATCCTCTTCCAAAGACCTGTCCTGCATCCCCTCAAATACACAAAATCCTTTGGGAAGGACTCCCACCAGCCTGCAGTGAGGGCAGTGTCACCATGAAGAGAGAGAGGATGGTGCGTA